TTTCTCCATATCATCATCAACACCCACTGAATTCATTTTTTATCATAGCCTTCTTAGTAGAGGTGATATGATTTCACCAAAGAAACACAAAGCATCATTAGTCATTAGAGAAATGCAAATCTAAACCTCAATAAATACAATTCTTAAAATAAGGCAAAAGTTGTCCATGTAAATTATCCTTATCTGTGTACTGTTATCAGTATAATCACAAACTATTACTACACAATCAATTATCACATAAATAATGAAACTACAAGTTACTACATCTCTTTTGGCAGGTAAATAGTCCAGAAACGGCTGGCATGTATTCATTGAGTTTGGGAGCATCTTGACCCTATCTTCAGACTGACCTTCCGAAAGAAGGTTATTTTTGCGAAGTCAAGTGGCTGCAAACATAATGCAGAGTTTTGTCACAAAAATTGACATTTCAGCATGCTTCCATAGATCATAAACTTCACTCGAAGATTCCAGGGATTCTATGTTTTCTTCATATGTCTGTTTTAACTTTTAGACAAATCTGTTTCTTGTGGAAAATGTGTCTGATAGAATTCACTAATACAGTTAGGCTTAATCTCCATGAGCAACCAAAGAATTGTAAAACATGATTCATGCTCATTAAAATGTGATGTGGACTTCTTTTGAAATTGTGGCTTAATGCCTTCCAAATCACTCTGTTATTCCTCAAAAAACCATAATTTGTTTTTGAGCTTAGGTCATTTCCACAAACTAAAATGTAATTGAGCCTCAGTTGCTAGGGGCTCAATCCATATGTGCAGTTTGAGTATAAATTCTGCACATTCTTTGCAAAATAGGCAATATTCCTTTTCCCTTGCTCTTCCTAGTTCATTATATTCAGACGTTTAGGCATTTAATAAAGCACAATTTTGTGAGCAACTATGGATCACCTTGCTTCACAGTCTTCCAAATGGCCTGAAAATTAAAGATTAACGGAATGATGAAGGAAATAAACAGTCTGCAGGGGGTCGCGCTGCATTTTCCGTTGCATGCAGCATCCACCTCCTCTGATGATGAGACAATGGAAGCTAAGAACACCAACCTTCTCTTCTGACCTCAGAGCCTGTAGCAATCTACAGACTCTACACTGCAGACATGAGGTCACCATGAGTTGGAACTGATTTGACAGCAACTAACAACAGAGGTAAAAACACGGTGCCAAAATTATGGTTTAGAATTGCACTGTCACTTCCTCAAGCTCTGCATAGCATCTAACTGCCCCCTCCCCACTACACCATGTTCCCAATACTCTCTACTGCTGATGCAGCGATGTGCAGAATAACAAGATCAGAAAATTCCCCTGAAAAATCTTAGAGGTTGAAAACCTTGGAACGCAACACAGGAGCTATGTCTCCAGAGTCCATTCCTGGGCTGAGTAAAGGGGGAGCTAAAAGGGGAGGATTCAAAGAGCACAGGCATTCTGAAATGGAGATCTGCAATATTTTATCACCTTCCCCTCCACCTTGTATCATTTTTCCCAGCTTTGAGTTAAAGAATATCTAATAATAACTCCATTCTCCAGAGGGAAAGAAGTCAGAGTTTTGAGAGTTCTTTTCTGTTGTTGTTGTTTCAAAAAGAATTTTATACTGAATTTCAAAACTGAGAAAATAATATAAATGCATTCAACTATGCCAATAAGCCCTACTGCACTGACAGGCACGTTGAAAGAATTTTGATAGGAGGTGGCATTTCGAAATCGCTAAATTAAGATCAATTATTGCAACTTTCTATATCTCAGGCAAAGCTTTCTCTTCGCTCTGGTGTTTTTCACTCTAAAACAGTGGGGAAGGAAATGGGGGAAGGAAGGTGCATGCTCCCTGATCAATCCTGGCCCACCACCTTCCTAAATCATCTGTCAGGGTTAAGACTCTCTCCAGCAGAAACCAAAAAAGAATAATTCCGGCAGGGTTAAGACCAATAGTGGTTGTGAAGCCAGTTATAATATGAATTTTTGTCTTTTTCCTCAAGGAATACCTTAGTGCTTAGCAAGAGAGACTTTTTAAGTGAGGCAGCCTACATTCATACACATATGAAAGAGTGGCAAAGAAAAGAATTTATCAAAAGGAGTAATTAACAGATAAATAATGGGCAAATAACAAGTGCTATCTATAGATTCAATTTCATTTTCATTCATATTGGATTTCATTTCATATGTTATTTCATTTCCTGTCATAATTTAGTTATGATATTTAATTATCTGTAGTCCAGAGAAATGAGGCAGTTGTTTCAGCTTCTGGCCTTTATCATTTCCCACCAACAGGATTGGAGGTACTGTTTTTTTGTTTTGTTTTGTTTTTGTTTTGTCATTGCAAATTGTTTATTAAAACACAAAGCAATGGACAATGGAAAAGATTCTGATTTTTTTACTTTTTGGTGGGAGTAGGGGTGAGAGTGGGGCAGAGGTACTGAGAGAGGTAGGAATTGATGGAGACCACAGCTCTATCTACCCTGACTGTTTTCCCCAGCCAGCCAGGTTCAAAGCCCCCCATCCCTTCTCATTCTGTCACAGCTGTAAAGGCATGTTGAGTCTACAAAGAGTTGGTTTGGCCTCAGCAGGCAGAAGATGGAAAAGTAAAATATGAACTGCAAGAACTAGGAAGAACTTGATCCTTTCTCCAGTACTTGGTACAGGACAGAAAGCCAGACCCACTGTGGAAAACCAGGCTTGACTGTCTGATAAGGCAGGTCAGGCCTAAAAAGGTTAAAGAAACTGCCCTGAGCTCTGAATGGGTAGCTGGTCTTAGCTTGGGAGAACCTAGTAGAAGGAAAGGTTGTTGTTGTTGTTGTCAGGTGCCATCGAGTCAAAACTGACTCATAGCGACCCCATGCACAGCAGAACGAAACAATGTCCGATCGTGGACCAACCTCACTACCGCCGCCACACTTGAGTCCATCAATAATGCCACCTGACCAATCCATCTCATTAGGGGTCTTCCTCTTTTTCTCTGACCCTCCACCTTACCCAGCATGACATCCTTCTCCAGTGACTATTTCCTCCAGACAATATGTCCAAAGTATGAGAGATGAAGGAAAGGTAACATTCCTTATATCCAACAAGGGAACTGATTCAGAGTCAAATTTCTTCTCATTCCCTAGATTGCAAAACACTAGGGTACAGAGGAGTCAAGGATGTCTTTCTTCTGGTTTGGTTGTAACATCTCTCCCTGCCCATTCTCCCCATCCACTTGGCAACTGGATACACAACAACTGTTTTCAAGCGCAGGTATGTTAAGGGAAAAACAGAGGTAAGAACAGACAAGAAGGCAAAAAACATTCATTTCATCTATTTACATATTTATGATTTTCTAAATTTGATGAGAGTAGGAAGAAGCAAGTTGATTTTTTTTTCATTCCTTCATATTGCAAGATATACATCCAAAAGTTCTTAAATTATCTATGTTTAGCTACATATTCATAAAATGAACACCATAAAACCTTCCCCTAGGATGGGAAATCAAACATTCCATGAAGCCCACAAGCACCTCACCAATTACAATTTTTCTTCCTTTGAAGGATAACCACCATCCTGATTTTTGTGATAATTACTTCCTTGCATTTCTTTATAGAAATGGAGTTTGATTTTGCTTTTTTTGAACTTCATTGCAAGAACTCCATTTGTCAGGTCTACTTTTCACTCAATCGAATGTGAAATCTATGAAATGCATCCATGTTGTTATACATAGCTGTAGTTCATTTATTTCCATGACTCTATTCACTTGTTTATCCAGTGATGGATGTTTGGATGGTTTCCAGTTTGGAGTCATTTAGACCATAGCTGAACATTCTGGGACATGTGTCTTGGTGCAAGTACGAAAAAGCTTCTTTTGGACAGATGTTCACAACTGGTCAGACTAAGGATGGGATTGGCAAACCGTGGAGTATTTGCTCCTTTAACTTTGCTAGTTACTGTCACATTATTTCCAAAGTACTTATACTAATTTTCATCTCAACAGCTGCATAAGTGTTCCAAGCATGAGAAGACTGGTAAATAGTTTTTCTTGTTCAAATTAAAAGTTGTGTGTAGCAGATCATGAACAAGAGAAATACGGAGAATACTTATCATCTGGTAGTACTGAAAAGCATATGGATTTTAAAACTGAATCCCCCATTTAGTAATTGTGTAACTCTACCCAGTGAGATTCCTGGTGTGGCATTGTAGGATCAGCACTGGGCTGTAAACCACAAGGTTAGCAATTCAAATCCACCAGTTGTCCTTGGAAATTCTATACAGGATCATTATGACTTGGAACTGACTCGATGGCATTTAACAACAACAACCCAATGTGATTAGCCACTCAAATTCTTTTATGTAAAATGGAGATAATGTCTATCTCAGGGTTATTTGAACGACTAGATAAAAAAATATTTACAGCACCTAACATAATACTTGACACCAGGCTGTTGTTGTTATTGCTAAATGCAGTCAAGCTGCTTCTGCCTCATAGTGACCCTGTATAGGGTTTCCGAGGAGCAGCTGGCACTAATTGCTAGTTCTCAAAATCATTCTTTTTCTTACTTATTTCTATAACCAGTACGTGAGAATCAAGGACTCAGTGTCTCTGAGGAGACTATAAGGTCAGAGAGCTATACTTCGCAGATTTCTTCAAGCTTAAGATATTTGTTTGCTTTGTGGTGCTTGAGCTGAAAAAAAATGTGATATATAAGAACAGAAAAGGCTATTTTCAGGACCTATAGAATTATAAATCCAAATATTAAATCAAGTTTCTTTATTTACTAACTAACTCACCAGTGTAGTAAAAAGTATTGTAAATTTCTTAAGAAAGAATTTAAAATGACAGATCAGATAGTAACTAAAAACAAATGTTTCCAAGCCAAACTAAAAAGTGAAAAGTAAACATTCCACCAAATTTTTAATTTTATCATTTTCATTAACTCACCATGTTCAACAGAAATCAAGTTGTTGCCACCTCACTCAGTAACAGGTGAAACCACTATTAAGAATATTAATAGTCTCATTCCCTGAGACTAAATCATTCACTTGAGGTTTACTGCAAAAGTTAGCAATTGACTTTTGACGATTTAAGAGCCACTTTCAAAAGTTACTAACCTCCTTTCATTCTGAGTTATTGTGCCATTTTCCAGCTTTTTAACTGTGGTTGCTAGTACTTTATTTGCATCATTGGCAAAATCTAAATCTCGGACCTCAGACAGTGGGACGGACACAATGGCAAATGCTTCTTTATCTTCTTTTGTTTGACATGTTCCAATCTGCAATGGGTTTTTCCATTAAAATTAGTTCTTTGCTTTTTTTTTTTTTTCTAAATAACTATACATTATATTTTGAGCAATAACATACAAAATTCAAGGAAGGAGTCAATAATCCAAACACAATTTCTACATGCATCATTCAATATGAAGTGTTCCATACCCACTTCCTGCCCTGATCCTAAAGCCCCACTAGAAATTATCCCTTTCACACTTGCTCTTTGTCTTCAGCTTCCAGAGTAGAGAAATGTACTCCTGGTGGCTTCGGCTCTCATGCATGCTGTTATCACACTTGTGGGTATCTGCACTACATCACAGCCTGCTACAGCCTGCAACACAGCCCTGCTACAGCCAAGCCATTAAGCTCAACTACCTATGCAAGCAACTGGAAGAGTTTAATTGCATTCATTTCTAATACTAGGGTAACAAATGAATCTAAGGAATATTTGTTACCCCCCAACAGTATTCACAAAACATTTGGTTAAAAATTAAATCCCTCCCAGTAGCATTACCTTCAGCATAACAGGCCTCTCTTCATCCGTGTCTATGGGGATACTGGTACTGGTTACCCATGTGTTGGTACATAAATGCCGTAACCGAACATATGAGTTTCTAAAAGTTAAAA